AGATCACAAGTAGACAGAGGGGCAGGCAGAGAGAGAGGAAGGGAAGCAGGCTTCCCGCTGAGCAGAGAGCCCGATGCGGACCTCGATCCCAGGATCCTGGGATCGTGACCTGAGCCAAAGGCAGAGGCTTCAACCCACTGAGCCACCCAGGTGCCCCGGTATTTTTTTTTTTTTAATATTGAATGAATATACTAATTAATTATAGAATGCTGATTTTTTTTTAAAGGATATCAAAGAACCTTCTGCTCAAGTGTCATCTAAATAAAGTGTAGAAAGTGTCACAGCTGTTGATGTTACCTGGAATTTACTTTACTTAACTGACAAGAGCAATCAGAAGGCATATTAAAAAAAGAATCTTGGGGCACCTGGGTGGCTCAGTCGGTTAAGCATCTGACTTGATTTCTGCTCAGGCCATGATTTCAGGGTTATGAAATCAAGCCCCAGCTTTGCTGGGCATGGATCCTGCTTAAGATTCTCTCTTTCCCCTTTCCTTTGCCCTCCTCTCTCTCTTTCTCTTCAAAGAAAGAAAGAGAGACAGAGAGAGAGAAGGGAAGAGGAGAAAATAAAATGAAAAGTAGAAAAGAAAAGAAAAAAGAAATCCTACCAATATGTCGATTCACATGAAGGTCAAAACTGTTACTTATTCTAACGGGGGGAGAAAGATGAAATTAAGTGGTTCCTTAAGAAAGACATTTTCATGTCAATTATATGCATCAGCCAGCCACACTATATTTGACTATATATCAAAGTACCAATAAATTTCGCCTAATTCAGAGATTCTACAGCTTTATGAGTTCTACTACCACTAATCACAATCTACTGCTAATTACACTCCTGCTCTAAGCTCCTGCTTCCACTTTACCAGTACAGAGGCGGGGGTGGCATCTCTGTTGCGTGCATATGATCACTTGTTGGCATGGCACTCTGGAAGAGCATTTCAGGTTGATGCCCTAAGCCATGTGCCACAGAAGATCACAGATGATGCTGTCATGTTCCTATAGAAAGCTCTGATGCCAAAAGCCTCAAGTCTTTTTGACCAAAAACTTGAGGCTGATATAACAGACCAATAACTGCATGGGGTAATATGAGGTAACAGTCTGATGAACCCCTCTAAAAAGAATGGGGAGTGCAGAGAACACAGGAAGTGGAGTGCTGGTATTCCATTCACATTCCCCTAGGCACTAGGGCTCTCTGGACATCCCTGATATACAAATTAAATTCCTGACAGGCAGGCTAGCAAACTCTTTTACCTCAAGTGCTCATACTGATGGATTGCCGCTAGCCTCCTGGGGAGAGAAAGTATGGATAATTGACCCTGGTCTTGGCCAAGGTAATGACTGAACTAGGTCATTGACTGAACTAGGGGGATAGAAATGTTAGTATAAGGGAGAGAGAATTGAGCAGGATAGTCAAGGGGACTGTGACAAGTTTAATTTGATTTAAAAAAAAAAAAAACTTATATAAATGTAAGAAATATCACCTTTTATCACACCAGATCTATTTTGTACACCTTGTCACCATGCTCTTGCTTTGGGAGATGGGCCTGCATGGTCTTCAGTAGGTTCCCTTGCTCTCCAGCTGGGTTTAGCCTGGAGCAGCGTGGGAAGGCCATCAGAGGGAAAAGAGAGATCAAGGTACTTATTCCCCAGGCTTTATTGCTATGAGGTTACCTCAGGCTGGCGACATCCCTCAGTCCAAGGTCACAGCAGCTCCCAGGACAGTTTTCTCCAGCCTTTTCTCTTCTTCTGGGTTCCAGCAACCACTCCTTTGGCACAACATTTGGGCCAGGGATAGATAGTAACAACTCCACTGTTATGAGTACTGGACACTACACTCTCCCTTGTGGATCCCCTAAACCTAACTGCACTTTTGTAAATAATGCTTTAATGGACCTTTCAAATCATCCCATCCAAGTGCATAATTTATTTCCTGCTGAGACTCACTGATCGACCAATTATGATCCTGAGATTTTGATCTTGGGTGGCTGTGAGGATAGATGATATTATTAGCTGAGATAAGGAATACAGGAAGATGAGTCTGTTCAAATGTGGAAAGAAAAACCATGTAACTAACACTGTCAGTGAACAGCAGTGCTAGTACTACATTCTACAGCTTCTGGGTTCTCACATCTGCACTTTGTCCATGAAACACAGCATTCATCTCTGCTTCACTGCATCCCACCAGTCATCAAGGATGGAGTACTGAGTCTGCGTCCAGGATTGCGCTAACCAATGTGAGGAATCCTATAGAAGTAAAACAGTTTTCTAGCAGTTTACAGTCTGAACTAACCTACAAATGTTTAGAAATGAGCATGCAAAAGACAAATGGCTGGGCCAGCTAAAGGAAAAGAGGGTATTTTGTATGACAAGGGTACTGCCATCCAGCATTAGTGTTCTGTTTTGTGTGAATGGTTGGTGTGAGCGAGGAAGTCGTAACAGCTGGTTGATTCTTGTCACAGCAGTCGAGGATTGTCTAATTTACTCTGTTTAAGCATACAAGTTGTAACTGTAGAACGTAATATGTAAGCATAAGAATCTATTAAACTATCGGTTCCTGCCTATAGAGACCACCCTTCTAAATGACAGCTTAAATCCAAACTATTTTGGCAAATAAAAGAGTGAAAAATATGTTACTAGTCGTGCATGTATGAATTTATGTATGGATTGCTACTGTTTAGCTGTAAATATAAAGTGAGTAGGAGAGATGACAGTCTGAAGCCTATACACCTCAACATAGCTCCTCAGAAATCACATATATTTTTTCCTGCTTATTTTATGATTGCTATACACAATTCTAAAGTATGCTAGGAAACCTCTTCATAGGGATTGAATAACCAGAATACCATCATTATTCTATTTTCATATGCTGATGACTTTTTCAGCAGCATTTACCAACACTGAGAAATGACTACTTGGGCTCTTATAAGGGGAAATTTCCTTTAAGTCTGAAGAGCTGTTATCAGTTTGGGAGTTCTTGTTGGAAGAAAAAGGTGATGCCTACATAGGCAATTGAAATGATCTTTATTCATCTTAAGGTCAAAACTAGCTTATTTTGCAAATTACAACTTACAATTGCTTCACAAATTTTCTACTTTCCACCTACTATGTCTATATAATTTCAGACTTTAGCAAATGGAAGAGATAAAAAGGGTGATAATTCCCAAGATGTGAGCCAAAAAGAGAGAGAGAGAGAGAAAGGTCTAATGAATTAATAACTAATAAGGAAAAACCTCAATAGGGAAGAAGAAATCATCCCCAAAGACATTTTACCCAAGGCATCTGGCCTACACAACACTACACCGTTAGCATGTAGTTAGCATGTCTTCCCGAGTGTGAACTAGTGTTAGGAGCTCAAATATCTTCCAGGATGGGCAGTTAATCTGAACATACAGAGCAGTCAAGTCTTAGATAATTGAGAGTTATGAGGACAGTAACTACCTGAAAAATACAGGTTCCATCTAAGGCCTCAAGCGGGTGCATGTGTGTGTGTTTATATAAACTATGACCTAAACAGAGAATGGCCATAGGCTAAATTCTGCCTGTTGACCACCATTTTGCAGCGCCTGTTTTAGACACATTAAGTTGAATACTTCTACATTTCACTTTGTGAAAATTTTTCATTCCTTGGCCCAGCTAGTTTGGGACATCTCATTATTGCTATGGTCTTAGTGTTGTGTCCCCCATCAAATTCTTATGTTGAGATCCTAACACTCCAAAAAGATTGTATTAGGAGGTGGTACCTTCAGGAGGTGCTTAGGTTGTAAGGGTGGAAGCTTCATGAATAAGTTTAGTGTTTTTATAAAAGAGGCCCGACAGAGAGCCCTAACTCTTCCTCCGTGCTTGGACATAATGAAAAGGGACTGGCTATGAGCCAGGAGGAGGGCCGTCACTCAACCTTGCTGGTACCTGACCTTGGACTTTCCAGCCTCCAGAACCATAAGAAATAAATTTCTGTGGTTTATAAGCCACCTAGTCTATGGTATTTTGTTATAGCAGCTCAAACAGACTAAAAACAATTATCAATCCTTCCTTTTATTTTCAATTTTATAAGAAAAATCAATTTTTATAAGAAAAAGTCAAAAAAATTCCTAGGTGTGAATATATTAAGCTTCATTCCGTAGGAAATGAAAGAATAATTTCAGCAACTCTATCTGGTGTCTTCTAAAATCTTTCCATTCCTTCCATACAAAACACAAGGGGAGAAATTTCATGAGATTCTGGTTGCAAAGAGCAGCTCGTTGATAAAAATCAGGTATAATCAAGATAACCTAAGAAATACTGGCATCCTAAACACTGAGGACTGAACTGCAAAGCAAAGGATTATCTTAGTTTCACTCTGCAGGTAAAAAAACAAAATGCCATTAACTAAATGTTGGTCTTATCTTGTAGTCTCTCCACGAACCACAGTTTTGACTTTACGTTCACCCAAGCATATTAACGGGAGACAGGATGTCTGCACAGCCCAGCTCAATTATCTGTTTTTCTGTTCTACAGCATTCATCATTATGGGAAGAAAATTTTGGCTCAGATGACGGTCCTATCTTGTACCAATACTGGTATAAATTTACTCCCACAGCCCATAATTCAACGACTAAATTACCACATGTACAGCTCATGAATTAGAAATTCTACCTCAAAATTCCTTGCTAGTATGAAAAGTGTTTGCTTATGTACTTTAAAACTATGGATTTAAAAGGTCTTTTCTTACTCATGCATTTTTAGATATTAGAATACATTCCACTTTTTCCTTCAGTACAATAAGAATTATGATAGAATTTATGACAGAATTATGTGAGCAAAATTCTTGATAGTCTTTTCAAAGCTGGACATTAATTAGATTAAAAATACATAATATGCACATAGACAAAAACTAGATATCAATGTATGCACAAAATTGTATTGTGAAAGCTGAATTACAGGAGACTTTTTAATTCTCTAACATTGTATTATTGTTAATACAGTATATATTCAGTGAAAGGTATTTAAAGCTCAGGTACTTACCGTGGTTGGAAAATAACGGCTAGTTTTGAATTTTTTCAGAGCCATAGAAGAGGTGTAGGTGCCCAAGAAGAGGATGAAAGACATGAGTGTGATATCGGGAACAAAATCACAGTTGTTCCCCACGAGCTTTCCTCCATATTTCAAACACTTCTTCGTTGACAAAAACGCCCAGTCAAAGGTAGCATTATGGTACTGAAGAGGAAAAACATGAAAATTTTTCTAGAAAGCACCCACGCAAAAAAAGCAGCATTTGATATCTGATGGGCTCTGTAGGGATTAGCTAGAAGTCTCTGCCCAACATCTGGTGGGCAACCACTGGAGGGCGAAACCTGAGGAAGTGTTAATAGACTCACAGATAAGGGAGGCCAGGAGGCTAGCGATGACTGAAAATACAATGCAAATGATGCAATCTGTTAGCTAGGCTGAGCTACAGTCCTACAATCATCCATTTGTTCAACAGAAAACAAACCACAAAATCCTTCTTTCCTGTCAACCTTCCTGAGAGTAAACTGAGACACACTAATATCCAAAATGTGAGACTCTCTGAAACACCTTTGTTGTTCAAAAAGTACTTTCTTTTGTAGTCCACAGTTTCTTTGCATTCAAGTTGATGGCCCTATGGTCAATGCTCTCTAAAAGCTTTATTAGGCTAACCATGAACTTACTCAGCACTTTCGCAAATGAGCTATTTCTTTTCTAAATCACTAGAGACTAGTGGTTTACAGAATTAGATGGTAAAAATGCTGATGGTCCCTGCTTTTTCAATTGCATATCCTGATAAAATATAGCTTTTTTTTCTTGTTGACTCCAGGTCAGCTTCATGAGTAGTCAGTAGTGGAATACTCTGTGATGGGCTATGGAGTTGTGTGGGGGATATCTAATCTATCCCAATGTTATATGACCTCAAGTTCATGGGTCAATTTTCAAATTTTCTTCTATCTCATGAATTGCTATTGGGTTGTCGGTACTTCTTGAAGCAACTAACTCCTGTTCCTATTTCTTGTTTCTAATATGCAGGAGAATCTTTTTGCTAGCATGGTGGGTAAGGCCAGAGTACTCATTTCCTAGCTGTTCAGTTTTAGTTGCCACCAGCTCACACCTGCCTCCTTCTCTAGAGAACTGCCTTCAGTCATGTAAGAGCTTCCTCACCTAAAATGTGATGCCCTCTTGCAGCCACTTAGAGACCAATACTAAATGGGATGCAGACTACAGTTCCCCTAAATATGTTGAAAATCATATGTGATAGTGTTTGGAAGGTGATTTGGTCATGACAATGGAGCCTTCATGAATGAGTTCATGTCTCTATAAAACAGACCCCAGAGAGCTCCCTTGTTTCATCTAACATATGAAGACGCAATGAGAAGAAGGTTGTCTAGGAACCAGGAAGTGAGTCCTCATCGGACACTGAATCTGCCAGTACCGTGATCTTGGACTTCCTCTCGGGTCCAAGGCTAATGATTATGTCACGTGCTAACAGAAGAGTTATTTGAGAATACCTTGCAAATAAATATGGAAAGATAAATTTCTCCTGTCCTTTGGAGCAAGAGTTCTATCTCACACCAAACATATCATCAATATACATTACTATTCAATGAATTATCTTGATGTAAGTACCCTAGTCATAAAATATCACACATGTAAAAGAAAGATTTCTGGCCAGAAAGAGTTCATATTTTTATAGAGCTCAAAAGATAAAGTGCTTACGTAAGTCAATAAAAATATAAACTCTAGATCTTTCCCTGAAATATTTTTTTCTGTATTAGTTTCAACTTATAAACAGCTGAGTTACATAATTATTCTTTTATCAAACTCTTCTTCTGAGGGGTGATTAATCATGTCTCATCTTGTTTTTCAGATTTCTGCATATGGATGTTTTTAGCAGAACACATTTAAAGTTTAGAGGTCATAATAGGTAACAGATTTCTTTGTTTTCAAATCAGCAAAAATTTACCATAATGTCACTTCAGCATTTTAATATCAGCAGACTCCTTCTTTATAATCCAAAAAAGTAATCTGTGTTAAGACAATCCCAACAGGCAATTTTTATTGATTTTCTTACAGAGATTCAGGATGAGGCGAAAAACAATACACATGTACATAAAAATGATAGATACGTTTTCTCATTTATATCAACCTAAAATGCCAGTATCACTATTTTGTAAGCCCCAAATGATTCTATGTATCATCATGCAGACAATTTAGCTTCCAAAACACCTAAGGACTTTAATACAAAAACTTCAGGTAGCTTGCATAGATCTCTCAGGATATATATACGTGAAATTTCCCACTCCCATAAAAGTTTAACACTAGTGTATAAATAATTCTATTTGAATATCACTGAAGAGGTGTCTATATTTTTGTGTTATTTCAGTGTTCTTATTCCATAAAGCTAATATCAATGAAGATTATCTCCATTGGACTTGAGGAAGCACTGATATCACAAACAAACTAAACATTAAGACAAAGCATGGCTCATCTATTAATGGTGTATATATGTAAATCTGAAAAGTAAAATTTTAGACAAATGGCTAATAATTTAATTGTCACAGATACTATTTATAAAACTTTTACCCCAATATATCTCATTTTGTTATCTATGAAACAGAAACTTTTGGGTACAAATGATATTTTTACTTCAAAGATCCATTTCACTTTGCCTATGTAAAGGGAACATAAAAAAGAAACTGTACAGATTTTAGTTACCACTTGCTATAACCCAATAGTTTTCAAATTTTAATTATCAGTGAAATGCTTCTTCATGTAAAATTTACATGAAATCCTAATATTTAAAACTGAGCTATTCTGTGATATGTAGTTAAGAGGCATTGAGCTTCTCTATCTTAATACTCCTAATCTACCTCAAAGCACATTGCTGAGTTGCCTCTCAGGAATCCTAGCTTAGTCTGTAGGGAAGACTGCTTTAAAAACAATGCTGCCTTATTAAAAGTTATCTATATCTGGGGCACCTGGGTGGCTCAGTCAGTTAAGCATCTGCCTTCAGCTCAGGTCACGATCCCGGAGTCCAGAGATCAAGCCCCTCATCGGGCTCCTGCTCAGCAGGGGGTCTGCTTCCCCCTCTCCCTCTGTTCCTCCTCACCCACCATGTGTACTCTCTTTCTCCTTCTCTCAAATAAATAAATAAAATCTTAAAAAATAAATATTATCTATATCTATCACTTATAAGTTGTCTCAAATTGCCATGAGTAGTTTAACCCAAGACTGATCAAAAGATATTCCACAGGCCAAATTCAGCCCATGTCCTATTTTCATAAATAAGGTTTTTTGAAACACAATCATGCTTATTTCTTTACATAATGTTCATCACTGTATTTGTGTTATAATGCAGTGTTGAGCAATTTCAACAACAACCAGATATCTGACTCATAAATCCTAAAATATATACTCTCTGGTCCTTTACAGTAAAAGTTTATCTTCCTTGATTTAATTTCTTATCTAAGACTCCTATATTACTTTCTATTATCCTTTTAAATAAAAATTTCATGCTTCATTCATGCTAGTACATTACACATTTTGTTTGACAGCTTTTCATACTTTACATTATCATTTCATGGATAGTGTTTTTGATACTGGTTGATTCACTGTAAACAGTTGTGGTTTTGATCATTTGTATTTTCAAATTGTGGTAAGTGATAGAAAAAGCAAAAAGATGTAAATAATTCTTCCCCAGGTTCATACAACTCCCAAAGAATTTACCTGACGTAAATACTGAACATATATCAAAAAAGCAGACTGGGAAAATACTATCATGAGCTTCAAGCTCAGCTCTACCACTATTTAATTGGAAAACAAAAAAAAAAAAGTAATTTCACTTCCCTGTGTAAGTGCCAGTAGGACTTCTCACATGGCTGAAAAAGAGGCCCATGAAGGTCACTATGGTCACGGTACAGAATAGTACTCTTCACATGCAAACCACTCCAGTTATGTCTCAGGACGTCATGGCAGAAGGTGTACACCACGTAACACTGCCTCCTAAAAGAGGCATCCTGGGCTGGACATATCTAGCATGGATGCTAAGTGACCTGAAGAAAGAAATCCCTGAGTCCTCTGAAATATCACGTAAGACACTGTGTATGAGTGTGTATCAAGGAAAAGCAATCACAGATTTCATTAGGACCTCAAAGGAAGCAGCGACGGAAGAAGCTTCAGGAGCACTGCTCCAGTGCTGGCACCCGTGGGATCATTCCATCCTTATAGCATGGCTTTCTTTTTGTATGTCAACCACACCAGTTTTCACGGACTCGAAGAGCCAATTCACGATCACAAGACTAATGACGATTTGTTAACACATCAGCAAATGTTCTCCAAATAAGAGAAAAATTGTTTGGTAACTACTTCTTGGTAAACTCCATCCCTGTTTGAATTCTTGTGGGCATTTTAAAGTTAACATGTCCAAAAGTAACTTCTAATCCCTCTTGTTCCCCTAGGATCTTGCCCATCTCTGTTAATAGCAACTTCATCCTTCTAGAGTCTAAAAACAGAAAACCCTGAAGTCATTGTTAATTCCTCTCTTTCTCACATGTCACGTTATGGCAAAAATGATCTCAAATCACATCCAAAATTAGGTGTACCAGGCTGGCTCAGTTGGTAGAACATGTGACTCTTGATCTTGGGGTTGTAGGTTCGAGATCCAGCTGGGTGTAGAGTTTACTTAAAAATAAAATTTAAGGGGCGCCTGGGTGGCTCAGTGGGTTAAAGCCTCTGCCTTCGGCTCAGGTCATGATCCCAGGGTCCTGGGATCGAGCCCCACATCGGGCTCTCTGCTCAGCGGGGAGCCTGCTTCCTCCTCTCTCTCTGCCTGCCTCTCCGCCTACTTGTGATCTCTGTCAAATAAATAAATAAAATCTTTAAAAAAAAAATAAAAATAAAAAATAAAATTTAAAAAAAAAATCACATCCCCACATGGACTACATCTCACCCATAACCACTGCTGTCACCCTTATTCAAGCCACCAGTATCTCCCCTGGGCTTAATTTGGGAGCCTTTTATCTCATAGCTTCTATCCTTTATTCCTTATAGGTAATCCTTACTCCTCTGTGGATTTGACCTTTATTCTCTATGCAGAATTCTATACACCATAACTTACTACTTACACCAAAAATTTAAGAACAAAACAAAAGGGAACATAATCTCAGAAGTCCCTCCTGTCAGAACTCTCAGAGCACATTTATCTC